GTGTGGCAATTTCCTTCTCTGGCTTTTGCTTTCTTTGGGGGAAGGTTATGATAAAATTAGACTGTTGAAAAGTGTATTGCTTTTTTTTCTGTTGGAACATTTTATTTGTGTGCGCGCACCCTGCAGAGCTTATGTGGACAGAGGACAACTTTGGGAGCCGGCTCTCTGTCCACTGTGTATGCCAGGGGTTGGACCTAGGCCTTGAGGCTTGTGTGGCAAGAGCTTTTAGCTGCTGAGCCATCCCACCTGCCTGCTGCTGGTCACCGCTTTGAGTAAGCGCGCACTCTAAAGCACAGCTGGCCGTTGGCACTCACCTGTCCTCGATGCCGCCTCCCTACTGAGACTATAGGTGTGCACTCACCATGCCAGGCTTGTATTGTCTTTTGGTGAGCAGTATCTGATCGTGTGGATGTGTGGCGTGTGGTCTGAGAGGGGCCTGAATATGAAGGGTCAGGTGGAGAAGGAGAACAGATCAGCTGGGCGTGGTGGCACATGCCTGGGATCCCAGCTACATAGAAGGCCCAGTGAAGCAAAAAGATGGAAAGTTTGAAGGTTTCCAGGGCTGCTTTAGGAAGTTTAAGGCCAGCCTGGGCAATTTATTGAGACTCTGTCTCTAAATAAGCAACAAAAGTGGGGGCGGGGGTGGTAGGGTGGTGAGGGCTTCTTGCTGTGCACGAATGAGGGCCTGAGTTCAGTCCCCCAGCACCCACGCTAAAGCTGAGCATGGCCTGTGATCCCAGTGCTGGGGAGACTCCAGGCTGCTGGTTAGCCAGTCTGACTGATAAGCTGCGGGGTCAGTGAGATGTCCTGTCTCAGAAAACAAGGAGAATGATGGCGGAAAATAACTGGCCTCTGACTCTGGCCTACATGTGCACACAGAGGCGTGTGCCCCCGCCCACACACAAAGGGCTGAGACTGTAGCAATGCCCCGGGTTCCACCCCTAGCATACACACCAAGGATGGGAAATAAAGAAAGAAAATACATTAAACACAAAACCAAGGGACCTTTAACTCTGATCATCTGCTATGACAAAGATTAAACCTATATGATTGAAGAAATCCTTAAAGATTCTAACTTGTAGATTCTAATCTTCAGGATCTAACCAGCTCTAGTTTAATTTTTCTTACATGTGTACATGTGTGTGTGTACACAGGCTTGCGTATTTCCACACACATGTGGAAGTACTTGAGCCCGTGCTGGTGTACATATCCATGTGTATATGTGTGTGCACACACATGCTCATGTGTGGAAGCATGTGGGAGACCATGAGCCTGTGCTGTGGAAACCAGAGTTTGAAGTCATATGTCTTCCTCTGTCACCTCCACTTTAGTTTTTGAAACAAAGTCTCTCACTGAGTCTGGAGCTCAGTGATTGATTGTTAAGACTGAGCCCCAGGATCCTCCTGTTCTGCCCCTCAGCTCTGTGATTACAGGTGCATGCTGCTAGGTCTGGCTTTTCATGTGGATACATGGGATTTGAACTCAGGTCCTCTGTGCTTTACCCACTGAACCGTCACCCCAGTTAAGCACCAATGTTTTTGTCTAATAAAGAATTCAGTGCATCCAGAGGTTCTGTTCCTGGTCCAATGTTAGGTTCATCTTTTTTACCCTGTCTTTTGGAAACATAGTCTCCCTGTAACCCCAGCTGACCTGGAGCTCACTACTTAGAATAGGCTGGCCTTGAACTCACAGAGATCTATTTTTATTGTGGCATAAGCGTCAAGTCCTTTCTGTGTTTGAGGGTTTAAGAAGAATCTGTAGGTCTAGACTGGCCAGTTCAATGTTTTTTTTCCTCATTGGTGAACTGTCAGCCACATGAAGTGTGTGCACAGGCAGTGTGGGGAGGAGCCTGGTCACAGGGAGGCTCTGTTCTTCTGGAGTGAGCCCAGCTCTCAGCTTATACCAGCTCCCTCACAGTAAGAGGAATTTTCACAGAACAGTATACATGGGCCGGGCCTGGTGGGCACACCTTAACCCCAGCACTCAGGGGGCCCAGGCAGGCTGATCTCTGTGAGTTCAAGGCCATCCTGTCTACACAGTGAGTTCCAGGACAGCTGGGTCAGGGAGACCCTGTTTAAAAAAAAACTTTCTTATTTCTTTGAGTCAGATTCTCATGTAGCCCAGGTTGACCTACAGCTCATTATGTAGCTGAGGATGACCTTGAACTTCTTTTAAAATATACCTATTTATTTATTTATTTATTTATTTATTTATTTTGTGTGTGTGTGTGTGTGTGTGTGTGTGTGTGTGTGTGTCAGGGGGTGTGTGTGTGTGTGTGTGTGTGTGTGTGAGAGAGAGAGAGAGAGAGAGAGAGAGAGAGAGAGAGAGAGAGGATAACTTTTGGGAGTCAGTTCTCTCCCCCGCATGGGCTGTGGTCCTCAAACTCAGGTAGTCAGGCAGGTCTCCTGCCTTTACCTCTGGCGTGCTAGCATTACAGGCTATCACCATACCCAGCTTATGACATGATGGGATGATCCCAGAGCTTCCTTCTGCCAGCATCTACCAGCTGAGCTTCTGCCCTAGTTGGAGGAAGATGCGCTGCCCTGCAGTGCCCCCTTCTATAGTTGACGGCATGGTCTGGTTGGTTCCTTGTTCTGAGTGTGCGCAGTATGCGATGGAAGAACATGAGGGCTGTGCATGGTTCTAGTTTGACAAAGTGGAATGTTTGAGTTAGACTTCTAGTGTGAACTTTCAGAAATCAGTTTGGTAAGGAGTCCTTAGCTCACAGATCAGAGATTACTTCTAGAATCACTACTGTCTTGAAAAATGTTCATTCTGCTGGGTGTGGTGGTGCACGCCTGTAGTCCCAGCACTTGGGAGGCAGAGGCAGGTGAACCTCTGTGAGTTTGAGGCCAGCCTGATCTACATAGTGAGTTCCAGGACAGCTGGGGCTACAGGGAGACCCTATCTCAAAAGGACCAAAAAAAAAAAAGAATGTGTCTCAATGGTAGAACATTTGCCAAGTGTGTACAGGTCCTGGGTTCTGGTCTCACTACCTCAAATGAACAAAATTCCCACATTTAATTATTTAATCAATCTAAAATTCATTTTCCTGTGTAGTGAGGGTGGGTTATTTCTAGTTTTTCTGATAGTTAGTTGTATGATATAGCCCACTGAGGTCCATGTATCACCCACCATCTGTTTCCCTCACTAAGGTGACACAGGTACCTATGTTTATACTGTAGGGACTGGTTTGGGAGAGATGGAGAGTGTTCTGATTAAGGCGTCTCTGGGTGCTGAGCATTAAGAATTTGGGAACTAGGAACCTTGGTGGCCCTGACACTGGAGTACAACATTTGAAATGTCCCGTGGATGAAGCAGAAAACATTTCACATTTATTTTAATTAATTAACTTTGGTTAGTTGAGACAAAGTCTCACTCTTTAGCCCAGGCTGGCTTCAAATTTGTAGGAACCTTCTCGATTCAGCCTCTGTGCTAGGGTTACAGGTGGGAACCACCATACCTGGCTTGTGTTTATTTTAGAGGCATGAAGTTGACTTAATGGGAAGAAGTTAACAAGGGACATCTTTAGGAGAGGGCATAACTTTCTAAGTATTGGAGCAGTCTGGCAAGAAAGGGGCTAGTTTGCAAAGCAGTGAACCCGGTTTTGGGAAGTGTGCCTGCAGAAATTGGGCAGCTGCTTACCAGGGATGTGCCTCATTCCTTTAACCTAGTTGGGAGAGTGGTCTGACTACTAGGGGACTCCTGTGTTTACTGCCTCTGAGACCATGCTCCTAACTGCCCCTGGAATGAGTCTACTGCCTACTGAGTCTCTGGGCCGCGCTCTGCTGTCTCTGGATTCACAGTCCCCCTCTGCCCCAGCACCTGTGTCCCTGTCTCACCTTCTCAAGAACATTTGGATTCCTAGAATCCATTCTCCCTGTCCTCTCAACTCGTATGTGTGTGTGTGTGTGTGTGTGTGTGTGCATGTGTGTGTATGTGTATGTGCATGTTTGTGTGTGTGTATGTGTGTGTATGTGTGTGTGTGCGTGTGTGTGTGTGTGTGTGTGTGTGTGAACTTAGGGCCTTGGCTTGCCTTTGAAATGCAGCAGGCTTCCCTGTCTCACTCCTTTGTGTTCTGAGAGTCCAGGAGGCAGCGTCTACAGGCCTCAACCTCAGCTCCCCTGTCCCTGTGTTGAAGTGTGCTCTGTGGTAAGACTGGCTCTTGGGGCTGGAGAGGCAGCTCAGCAGTTAAGAGCACTGGCTGCTCTAGCAGAGGACCTGGGTTTGGTTCCCAGCACCCACATGGCTGCTAACAACCATTGGTAACTCCAGTTTCGGGATCCGAAACCCTTTTCTGGCCTTCATGGCTTCTGTACAACCTAGGGGTGCTTACATACAATCACATGAAATTCAAATAAATACAATAAAAATTTTGAGTCTTTGTGCATTTCATAGAGAGATTGAAATACATTAAAAAAAAAAAAAACGAGAAAAGACTGGCTCTCCCCCATGAGGTTGGTTGCTATCCCTTAGCCCACCATGCTTCCCTGTCCAGGCACCATCTCAGAGCCTGACTGTATAGTTTGTCCTGTGGTCAGTGTGTCCCCAAGGGTGGACTCTTACCAAATATCTCAGGGCCCAGTTTAGAGTAAGTTTTAGTAAAATGCTTTAGTTATTTTGTATGGGAAGATCAAGCAATATATACTTCATTATTGGGAAAGGGAATGAGGGGAGAGTGCCTGAATTTTTTAAAGAAAATAATATTTTTAAATAGTTTATTATTTTTATTTTACGTGTATGAGTGTATTGCCTGCATGTAGGTAATTGCACCTCTGTCATGCAATGCCTGCGAGGACAGAAGAGGCCAACGGATCCCCTGAAACTGGAGTTACGGACAGTTGTTTGCTGCCATGTGGGTGCTGGGATTCGAACTGGGGTCTTCTGCAAGAACAACCAGTGTTCTTACCCGCTGAGCTGTCTCTCCAGCCCCAGGATGTCTGAATTTTAGATTCCTCCTCTCAGGATGCCAGTCCTGAGAGTCCCTCCTCTTTGCTCAGGGGAACCTGAGTTTTACTTGCAGTTTGATCTTCATTGAAAGCTGGCCTCAAAACCGCGAATTCAGTCATTTGGCAAACACATGCTCTGTTCCAGGACTGGGACCTTAGGGTGAGGAGGACACATAACATTCCTCCTCTCAGGAAGCTTCTGTGTTTCTAGTCTGCCACATGGTAAGTTTACTGTTGAAAGGCGTATGCTAAATAAATAGTAAGTTCCCTAATAAAGAACATGACCTTGGTGAGGACTTGCCTTTGTCTGTTCACTCACTGTTCTGGGCTCTGTGTAATGGAGGGGTGTGTGTGTCCACACCTGTGTGCACATGATCTTACAGGCAATCTGTTTCGAAAGGAATTTAGTCTTATGCCAGAAATCACTTTTTTCTAGTGGAATTAATGACATTGAGCCCATGTGGTCTTTCCGTGGGTGCTTGTTGCTTCTACCCGAATCCCCACAGTGTGTGTCCGTGCCCACTGCTTCCCTCTCTTCCCTTCATATAGCATCTGTCAGTCCGTTTGACAGAGGGTGCCTAGGCAGGAGTCGTCCTTGCTTCTGTAGGGAAGAAGGCAGAGTCCCTGTATTTTTTTTTTTTTTTTCATAGAACCTAAGTTCTGGGGCCTGTGAGGCAGTTGGTGCAGTGAATTGAGATGCAGCGTGTCAAGTGCCAGGAAGAAGCTGACTTGGGTAGATGATCATCTGTCCATATCAGCACCATTGCGGGTAGGGCCTCACTTCATAGCCCTGGTTGTCCTGGAACTCACTCTGCAGACTAGGCTGGCCTCGAACTCCCAGAGGTCCTCCTGCTTCTGCTTCCTGAGTGCTGGGATTAAAGACGTGCCACATCCTGGCCCACATTTTTATTTTTCACATGTTGAAATGCAGTTTTAAAGCTGTCACTGTTTACTGTTTAAAGGTGCAATGTCAATGAAGCCTGTGATGAGATGTGTTTTTCCTCCATTCTAGAATGTATGACAACATGTCCACAATGGTATACATAAAGGAAGAGAAGCTGGAGAAGCTGACGCAGGACGAAATCATTTCCAAGACAAAGCAGGTGATCCAGGGACTGGAAGCTCTGAAAAATGAGCACAACTCCATTCTGCAGAGCTTGCTGGAGACACTGAAGTGCTTGAAAAAGGATGAGGAGAGTAACCTGGTGGAGGAGAAGTCCAACATGATCCGCAAGTCCCTGGAGATGCTGGAGCTGGGCCTGAGCGAGGCGCAGGTACGCAGGGTGGTGTAGACCAGCTCCTGGCTCTCTCGCACCCCAGGGCCACACTGCTTTGTGTTTGAGTGAACTTTGTTAATTCCTGTCATGTTTCGACATTTTAGAAAATTGTTGTTTTTTCCAAAGGGGGTAAGAGGTAGTCTATTCTGGGGCCAACGTGAGTGACTGTGGTCTGGGAGCACAGATTTAGGTCAGAGATGAGGTAGTTGAGGTAATCCGACAAGAATCAGTCAAGGCTGTTTCTGCGATGCTGATACACGTTTATTGGTTACACAGTGAACAGGGGCTTACCCAACCACCAGTTGGTTTGAGTTCATAGATGTATTTCTTGGAGCTCCCAAAAGTGACTTGAGAAGGCTCAGTGACCCTGTGCGGGTCTGACTGGGCTGTGTGGCAGGGAGTCCGGCTGTCAGACTGTGGAATGGTGTTGAGTCTCTGTGGGTAATTCCGGGATGCCAGAATCCTGTCAGGCTGTCATGAGCCTTGGCAGTTAATACTTGGTGATGGGGTTTGAGCGCAGCATGCCCAGGTTCTGGTTTGGTAATGGCCCAGTGGGTGTGTCCAGTCAGCTCTGCAGGCTTGGGCAAGGTATGTTAGGCCCAGAGTCCCCGCTTCAGTTGTGGGCAAGTAGGGGTGTCATCACGCCTTGGAGTTAGTGAAGCCATGCTGTTTCCATGCTCACTCCGAATTCCACATATTGGGATGCAGGGTCTCTTACAACCCAGATACCATGTTCCAGCCTGGAAGCAGTTTGAGGAAGTTTTTATAGTAACAGAACAAAGTTGTAAATGAAGGTATTTTTTAAATACATTGGTAGAAACATGAAGCAGGCGATTGCAGCAAAGTGAGGAACACTGAGCCGGAAGTCTCAGATGCTGGTGACACGCATTTTCGTAGAGACAGGACATGGAAACAGGTTTCCCCCTGATGACCTCTGGCTCTCAAAGTAGAGCTTAGGTAAAATTCAGTGCACTGAAGCTTTGCTGCTCGTGCAGCAAGTGAAGGAGACAGATGGACATCTGCATTCCTAGTTTTGGTTTTCGTAATGGAGTAATCCCCTAGTTTAAAAGATTTTCCTCTTAGGGCCAGGCGTGGTGGAGCATCCCAGCACTCGGGAGGCAGAGGCAGGCGGATCTCTGTGAGTTGAAGGCCAGCCTGGTCTACATAGCGAGTTCCAGGACAGCTGGAGCTACAGGGAGACCCTGTCTCAAAAAGATTAAAAAAAAAAATTTTCATCTTCTCTCTGTTAGAAACATTAGTTATTAAACTTTCAACCATTGTGTTGTATTCTGTTGTTAGGGAGGAACCCAGGGCCTCACATATGCTAGGCAAGTGCTCTACCACCTAGCTATACTCCAGCTCTAGACCTT